TAGCACCCATTGAAGCAGTTTTACCGTCCTTCCCCTAGCTTACCCAAGGCCAGGTGGAACTCGGACTGGCCTGAGCGACTTATACCCCTACCCTTGTCTCTTATACACATCTAGATGTGTATAAGAGACAGGTGTGTGTGTGTGTGTGTGTGTGTGTGTGTGTGTTGTACAAGCATGCTGTTTTTCTCTGTATATGTGCATGTTGGCACTGACTGTGTTGATAATAATAGTCCTGCTTTAGGAGATCGTTCGACACTGCTGGACATGTGTTTCAGCATGATTACAATTTTTTTGTCAGATCATGCTCTCGAATGCGATCTTGTTTTCTGCCTCTCGGTAAGAAGATTGGTTTGCAGCCCCTGTTATATCATATTGCACCATGCTTTCTCCTGTGCAGCTCTTTCACCTTTCCCTCATTCAAATCGTTTCAGGTTTTTTTTCAGGTTGAGTTCCTTCCCTCTCTTCATACAGTGTTGTGGTCCTTGTGGATGGTGCAGTCTTGAGAACGTTCTTTGTTAACTTTGTGGATATCCTCCCCAGACAGTGCCTAGGTTTTGATGGATTACCTCTGGCTTTTAAAATGTCACCGGAGAGATGGGATATCTTGCCGAGGCAGGGGTTGCAGACTGTCATGGTCAGCAACGTGTGTGCTTCACTCTTTAATCCCCTCTCAACTAGTCTCTATTGTATTGGTTAATATAATTCTCTAGTATCTTGTTTGGCAGAGGGCACAGGTCCCAACTCCGCTAACCGACCAAACGAATTGAAAAAGTGCGCTCGTATGTAATCCTTGTAATCCCTGAAAGAAAATTACCGTAAAGAGGGGAGTCAAACACATCCATCTGTACACTGGCAGGTGAACACAGAGGTGGAACCATTTGCGACAAGTGCTTTACTTCTCTCCCATCCACTCATGACCCCCCGCTCTCTCAGACTGCTCAGCCTGCACACCAACGCATTCCATACAGTTCAGAATCTGTTTCACCCTTAGCTAGCAGCCTAGCTGAACTTCTTGGGACTCCCTGTCAAGTATCAAGTAGTATGTTCCACACTCACAGTGACTGAACCCAATCCCACGTTGTGTTCGCCTTTGAATTTCTTATCCTTACTCTGATGCCCTCGGTGGCCGCGATGGACTCTGTCACTCTGTAGCCGAGAAACTGAAACTGTGCATTGATTTTCCGCATAGAAAAATAGTTATTAAAAAAAAAAAAAAAAAAAAAAAAAAACTGGTGCATTTCGCTTTGAAAAGGCTTTGGTGACTAATGGCTATTGAAGGTATGGCAAGACTCAGCTGGACTGGGTGTACCAGCACATTGTCAAGACCTGCTGTGGATCCCAGTAGTCATTATACGGCTAGCCCAGGTCTGGTGGTTAACCAGGCTCTTAACTCCTAAGTTGGTTAAAAAAAAAGGCAAATCTGTTGGCACACTGCCGCCTGAGGTGAGGTGGCTTGTGGACAAGGCATGCACCTGATCTACCTTTCTGGGTCCACATGTTTTGCACAGGGTGTGTCTCAGATATACTACAGCTCTAGCAGGGGCAGAGTAGCAACAATGATCGTGTCTCCTGCAGGTCTGACTCCATCGGACCATCGGCTGGTGGGAGCGAAACCTTGGCTGAAGTTTGCTCTGAGACCCAGCTCCTGTTTGCTACTGCACTGCCTCCAGCTATCGCTGTTGTGCCTTCATTTGCTCACTTTTCCTCCTCTTTCTCGTGTATAGTTGCGCCTCGGCCTCTGTGGAGATCAGATAACTACGTGTCCTTGGGAACATCCCTTAGTTAAAATTGGAATAATATGGAGAAGAGTACCATGACCTCTGCGCAAGAATGACGCACATAAATTTAATTGAGAAATGGTCCAAATTAACCCCCCCCCCCCCCCCCCCCCCCCCAAAAAAAAAAAGAAAAAGGGAACATCCCTTAGTTAAAATTGGAATGATATGGAGAAGAGTACCATGACCTCTGCGCAAGAATGACGCACATAAATTTAATCGAGAAATGGTCCAAATTAACCCCCCCTCCCCACCCCCACCCCCCCCAAAAAAAAAGAAAAAAGAAAAAGAAAACATTATAGCAACGTGTCTGATCCCTCCGCAATGTCATGTCTGGCTCGTTGGCGGGCTAGTAACAATTATATTACAAATGAATAAATATGTGAAATTGTGAATATATAAATAATCGGAAGCATTTGTTAATTGCACAATCTTCTCTGTATCGTTCCCATTTTGACAGATGTTGCAAAGGACAGAGACCTCAACTCTCCCTCCATCTCCCACCTGGAAATGCTGTATTGCTTATATGGTTCCATGCCAGGTGACCAGGGGCACCAGGCCGGGCACCCCTGCCGGTCGCCCTTGCAGGGTACCCCAGGCACATAAAGAACTCAGGGAACTCTTTTATTTTTTATTTTCGGCAAGTGGGGATTTTCTGCGCCCACGGGACTGTGTATTCTGATTTTTCTTTTGTGGGGGGGGGGGAAGGAGTAGGGTATAAATGGGGTTTAANGTTTTTTTTTTTTTTTTTTTGAAGTCCATGGTGTTGTAGATGCCAGTCACTGAGTGCACAGTGATCACCTGGAGCAGTAGGCCGTGGGTGTCCTGGAATACGAGACCACCTCCCACCCCATCCTCACGTCAATACTCCTACCGGTAGCGCACCCCCTATCCCTACTATCCTACCTCAGTGTGACCAGCACTCAGGACCATTACCCTACCAATGGGCCAGCCCCAGTAACATGGACCGAACAGCAGTGATAGGCACCAGGGCTGATAGGTTGCCCAGCCCTGGTGGAAGCGGAATAGGACGAGCCTTGTCGACGAACGGGAACATCGGACGCCAGGCCCAGACAATCTACTACAGGCCCCAAGAGACTCTGGGACCTAGGTTCAGACAGAGTAGCACCCATTGAAGCAGTTTTACCGTCCTTCCCCTAGCTTACCCAAGGCCAGGTGGAACTCGGACTGGCCTGAGCGACTTATACCCCTACCCTTACCCTAGGGTCTAAGCCTTATATAGCCACCAGACAGTTCTATCCGAATAACAGTAGGAACTCCGGCGGCCCTTACCTGTACCTACTGCAGATACTAGACCCCACCCAGTGAATAGATCCCCCCAGTCTGATAGTCGTGTAATCTAATGTGTATATTACCCGAAGGCTATGCATG